TTGAGTTTGTGTGAGAGTGGGTTCACTTTGCTTCATGAAAATTTCTAGTGTCCATTTCTATAAATAGTCAGGACTTCAGAGTTACAGACATTAACTGGAGAAACATCAGCTGGCAATTTACAGTGTACTGTGGTGACAACTCTGAATGTACAGTGAACGAACTGGGTGGAGGCAGTTATGGGGAGCAAACCAACTTTAAGATAGGCCTTTTCCTTACATATAGGCCTTTTCCTTACATGGTTGATCTGATGTTATATTGTGAGATGCTGCTTCTAGACTCGAGGGAGATAATGATGATCAGGAATGCAGTGGTTTCAAAACCTGTGTGACTGTTTGGTATGGACAGGGACACAAATTCATGTAGAGTAAAAGTTGTTCAGAAAACTGGATACTTGAGGAAAAAAGAAAGAGTAACTTCCATAGGCTAATGTCACAGATACAAGTTTTACTTTCTAAGTCTTGGCGGTTTTATAAACATGGAGATGACTCATGTTGTTAGAATAGATAAAAGATAAAACAATGTCTTACAGAAATATTAAATGTAAAACAGTCCATACATTTTAATTATATTTGATTAGACAATTAAGTATATAAAATATTCCACTTTTTTTTACTTCTTGAGAAATTCAATAAGTCTTATCCGTATTCATTCCAGCTACATCACCGTCTTTTTCTGTACACAGTATAGAATCTGTCTTTATCTTTAGCTGGAGCAACCTCTAAGTTCACTTTTTTGTCATTTATTTTATTGATATATATCACTTCCTTGCCATTTGATTAACTCATCTTAATTTCAGTTTGTTTAATTTCTGCATTCACTTCTTTCCAGTGGACAAGTCTGTCTCTTACATTAACCCTACACAGATTTTAATTTTTGGTTTTATTAGAACTTTTATTATCTAGGACTAGTATCAGTTTCTGCTGTTTGCTATCAGGATTGCTGCAGAGAACACCTGGAGCAGTCACCAGTGAAACAAGGTGACTTGAATTTATACCCTCTCCTGAGGTGCCTTTATATGGTATCACTAGGATGAAGGAACACTCTTCTTGTTTAACAAGACCTTGAAATTAATTTGAAAAAGTGCAGAAGCCTAGCTCAAAGCTGCATTCAGGAGGTCACCAGTCATTTCTGTGACTGTGCTGTGTCAGCAGCAGCATGGCCCCCTTCCTCCTTGTCCATTACATTCCTGTCTCCACAAGGTCAACAGGATCTGGTCCTGATTCGTGTTGTGGGCTATTTGCCTCAGTATTTATGCAGCATGTCAGTGGGTTTGGCACTGAAGGTCAGTTTGTCCAATGTATCCTGCATGCGGTGGACTCCTCTTTCCAGCATTCATCCTTTTCTGTTTAGTAGTTCAACACAGAGCCTTTAGTCAGTCTGGATGATACAGAGAGAGGCATAATGCAATATGCCATTCAGTGTATACGATTATAATGGCCAAATTTCAGCTGTTTCAGGCAGGTGATTCCTATCAGTGTACCTACTGCACATGTACCTACTGCACAAGTGCTTTCCCATTTTCATTTCCCTCATTTTCTTTCCATGTGCTGTCAAAGTTTCTCTTCTCTTCTCACAGATCCTTTAGCTCCACTGTATATGTCACTCTTGCAGTATAATGATTCCAAAACCTGCTATGCAGTTCACTTGTTTGTAATATACCACAATTGTTTCTAATGCAAGTAACTTCACACTCCTTTTAAGTCCATGTCATTTTTCTCTTACCTTGAAAATTCATAGGTGAGATTATCTCTTTCCTGCCTCTCCATTTAAATTGCAAGCAGTTATAAAATTCTTTGCTGGCTACAGTTTGAGCTACTGCTACACTTCTTTTAGTGCACTTTTTTAATTTGTTTCTGAGCTGTCTTTTCACATTAAGCATTTGCCTGCCTTTTTCTCAGTCTATCTTTTTTTGCAAAACAATTTTCTTGGCCTTTTTTTTTTTTCTTTTTGACACTCTCACTAAATCAAACTCGTTTTCTGTCTCAGCTCAGCAGTCTTCGACCGCTTGGGACATTTTTGGATCAGCTAGCTTTTACTTCCAATATTGTTCTTTTAGGTATCGTCAGTGAGTCTGTGCAGTAGTTCTCATGTGGAAGGTTTTTACAACTATTTTTTAAGTTTAGCAACCTTCCAGCTTCCCTGATGTTTGGGGAGTTTTGTCCTTCTAAGTTTTAGGCTATAAGCATTTTACAGCTTCCCACTGTAATTACTCACATAATATTATGCTACTGTAGCTCAGATCTGATTATTTAAGCACCTGAGTTGGACATTTCATGGAAAAATTACTTCTACAAACATAGCTTGACATTTCTATGCAGAAGCCATTAAATAAAAGATTAATTCCTTTCCTTTGGTCTCAGTGCAGTTTGTTTATCTATGTAAGTGATCCTATTAACTACATAAAGACTTTTTATATAAATCATGATTGCAAGACTGGACTCATCTTCATATTTTGGAGATAATTTAAGGCCTGTTCAGCAGTAGCTCCTTGTGGCATGGAGTGCAATACGCATACTGTGCCAACCAGTCACTTTCACACGGCTTATTACTCATCCCATTCCAATGAAAACCAAAGGGCCATCCTGGTTTTCCTCTCCATCGCTATTCCTGCAAAACAACAAATGTCAGATCATCTTGTAGAATACAAATTAATGGGGCAATTACATTCAATTTCTTCTTTTTTTTTTTTTTATTAAGGAAGTGGAAAAACTATGAGTTTGCTACTGTTTCAGTCATTGGATAGTTTTGTTAGTTGTAATAAATGTTTTGAACTTTCACATCTAATTAACAAGGGGTTTCTTTATTCATTATTTAGCACTGGAAAGATCTGTAGATTTAAGTACTTGCCAATTATTTTGCAATTTTAAGTCTGATTTCTTTTATCTTCCATCTGATTCACCTGCATGGATTACCTTTTTTATAGGCCATTCACTATGTTAAGAGAAATACTCAGGAAAGATATTGTATCTGTGAGAATTAGAGTAATCCTACATTTTCCCAGGGATTTCTGGGACTACATTTCTCCTACCAGTAGCAATTTAGTTATAAGCATTCTCCATGCAAGTCCATCTTTATAAAAGTACATTGTGTTTTGGTTATTAAGAACCTGAAGTCACAAAGGACATTGTTGTAATTAGATTTACTTCGGTAGAAATTGAAAATGTATTGTAGTAGTCAAAATCCCCAGGGGAAGGTTTCTAATAAAATCTCCATTGAATGTATTCATATGTGGAAATACAGTCAATATTTGAGATTTGAAATGTCAGTAAAAGTAAAAAGGTATTAGCATTCAGTGTATGTGACAAACTGGCAAAGCCTTGCCAGTCTGAATATTTTTTTCACAAAGCTTGGTTTCACAAAGCTTCTATGTGCTTTTAAAAATATAATCTCTTAAGGAAAATGCAATTAGAGCTCCCTAGTCCTGAAAATGGGAAGTATAATATTTTTTTTTATTTTTTTTAAACTACCTCATAGAAGTGAAAGGAAAAATATCCATAATGTTTCTCTTTACTGTGAATGCAAATGGGAGGATCATTTTCTGTCATTCAGGCATGGGGATTCACTGGTCTCCTAATGGTAGCAGAGACTACTCAGCTGTCTGCTTGCTGTTTTATTGTCTCCACTGGCTTGGATAAAAGACAGCAACATAAAAAAGTGTTCAGGCAGAGATAATATGGCAGAATGTTCCATTAACATGATGTCCTCTTAATAAACTTGTAACTTATGCATGGATTCCTGAAATACCTACCAGTCCTGAGTTCACTGCCAAGTCTTAAATCAGTGGCAAAGGGAAGTTTTTATTTTCCAGTCAGGTCTTCAGGGATGATACCATCTGCTTCCATAGCCCCAAACAAATGACCAATAGTAATTCAAAACAAAAATGCCCCATGATGGAATATTTTTTCCTTGGGACTTCAGTGTTAGAAGGCACATGGCATAGGATCCAGTTTCATGTCTATTCTCTGGTAAGGAAGCATTGCCTGGAAGCCATCCAGGTCTCCATGTACTGTCTTTTCTCTCTCTGATCAGCCTTCAGCATGAATGTGTTCCTTCTAGCCTCTTGCTCTAAAACTCTTAAGGCTGCATTGATTGAATTGCATAGTTGGCTTGGACTCTCTTCAGCCTGCTGTTTCCCTCCTGTTCAGTGTAGATTCCTTCGTATTCCCCTCCCACCACAATTTCAAGAAATCAGTGAGCAACATTTGAATCCTGAGAGCTATCGGTGTATTTACTGCATTAGAAACATGAGTTTCTTGGTAATGAAAAAAAAAGAGAAAATGCTTATTTTCCAGTACAAAATTCCTGCTTATAAATTTACAGTGGACTTTTCGTCAATATTTTCTAACACTAACTTTAAATATCTCATTTGTTTTCTATATTGTCTGTGAAAAAGACTGAGTTAAAGTAAATTCCACGTGTTTATTTGTGGAATAAATGGAAACATGAGAAACATAGCAAATTATTTGCCTATAAGTTAAATTATCACTGGGAGACACACATGAGGAGTTTTAAATGCTTAGAAAAGCAGATGTTTAACTCCCAACTGCTACTCTGTAGCCATGTTCTGTCACCTTTCTGCCTTTCTCTCACCAGCACCTATGAGACTGAAATGAATTGAAAACTTTTGTTGCCCTTCAGATGCAAGTTACTTCTCATGGAGTACTGAGATCATTAAGTATTTTGGCAGGTTTCCAGAGTCCCTTTCTTTCTCTGTTACATGGGTTTATTTAGCAATGAACAGAACTTTTTTTTTTTTTTAAATGCAAGGAGTTTGTGCATGACTGTCTATCGTGCTCAAGATCCATCATATTGCCTGTTTCTCATCTAGAGACCATTTTGGGGTGAATAAAGATAAATGTTGTTTGGTTACACTACTGTTTGTCTATGCCTTCCATAGCTCCACAGTTCAAAAAACTTTCACTCAAACACACACAGAGGCACATGCACACATGGTCCAAACATCATCATTATTGCTTGTGTTGCTTTATTCATCCTTCAGGTCTCCTGTAATGGCTGGAGGTCTATTTGCTGTTAATCGGAAATGGTTCTGGGAGCTGGGAGGCTATGATCCAGGATTAGAAATATGGGGAGGAGAGCAGTATGAAATCTCCTTTAAGGTAAGTCATCAAGTCACCTTACAGAATACTTCATTTCTGATGTTATAATTATACTTTTATTCATACTGACTTTGTCTTTTAACTAAAATTAATTTAATACAATGCCTTTTTTTGTTAGAAACTCCCAATAGTTTCACAAAGAATTATACCATAAACATATGCTCCAGAAGCCATACAAAAATCACACTGAGTGCAGTTCCCTCCAAAAATGTGATAATTTGCCACCATCAAAGTCCTACCTTGTTCCTTTCATCAAGTCTTCTCCACTTACCTTCTCTCAGGTGCTGTGTTTACTTTATACTCAAGCATTGAGCATAAATAAGCCAAGAGAGAACTATTACAGCAAAAATGAAAAGGGCATAATTTTCTGCCCAAATCAACAAGTTTAATCATCTCTGGGAATAGGGTCCCATGGAGTCAGCTCAGGGAAATGTGTGGAAAAGGAAAGAGAAAGTCATAGGAAGAAAGACCCCTTTCAGTAGCAGTGGATCAATAGAGCAGCTCAGCTGCTGTGAGCTGTTAGCTGCAGGCCAACTGTTCAAGAGCAGATTTTTTTTTTAATTGCATTTAAATTATTATAATAACATATGGGGAATTGTCAAGTGCTCAGGTTAAGTACAACAAGCCATAGTATACTCTCATATCCTCTATGTAGACGTGTATTCAAATCAGTTACATCTCGAAAGTCTTGTTACTTTCTGCATGTAAAACAGGCATTTGTATTAGTTCGATGAGGACTAACATCTAATTCTGAAAACTGAGTTAATTTTTTTCCAGCATACCCAAAGACACAAGAACTTTGCCACACAGTCTCTACATGCAAAGTTTTTCAATGATTTGATAGAATTTCATAACACAGATGAACTGAGTCAAACGTGTTTGAATATAGCTTGGAACTGGAATTAGAATTCAAATTTACCTTCAGGTACTTCCAGATTCTGTCAGTTTAAAGCTCTGTAAATAAATTCAGTATGTCAGCCGTGACACTAATATCATACATCTTGCTGAATCTGAGTTTCAACAGCAATTAAAACAGCAGTGCTGAGGCAAACCATACAGTGTGAGCCAACACTGGGCTTCCAGGCTGCCTTTACAGGAGTTACCAAGAACAGCAAAATGTTTTGCATTAACTGGCTTACTCTCATATTTCTCCAAATCATTTTTATACCTCAGCAAAATAAAACAAGAAGACAGGAAAAACCCAATAACTCGACCATATATTTAGAATATATTGATTTACCTTCTGTCTGTTTAGATTGTTTCAGAGGCAAATATAAGTAGTTACCTGTAGCTGTCACAATGGTCTCTGAACACGATTTTATTATCCTATTTCAAATACTCCTTTTATTTATCATCACAAAGAATATACCTGTGGTGCTCTCCAGACTTTGTATAGAAACCATGGTAACACAACTGGAAATTGAGATACCAGATTGTCCCAGTGTGTTTTGTTCAACTGACAAATTTTTTTTGGAGGCAGCTCTGTCACATTTGGTCTCGTTTCAGTCATATCTCTAGATCCATCTCATCAATATAATAATGACATTAGGATCTCTGTCCTTTCTTCCTAGTGTTAAAAGAAAAAAAATAGTCTTTAATGATGATTGCCAAATAGGAGTAACTTCCCATTGGAAGAATTTAATAGATGTAAGTTTTAAAAAGACTGCTGTTTGGTTTGGAATAACAAAAAAAAGGGAGAAAAATCATAGAGGTGGAAGGGAGAAACAGAAAGGACTGGGGTTTATTATGTCAGAATCACCACTCTCACCTTGGGAAAGGTTTCTGCTTCAGCAGTTTTTACTGTAGCTATAGATTCAGTCATCTTAAAACTTACTTAACTGAGGACAAGTTAGCTAGGCGGTTCAATTTACCAGATTTATTCGCAAAACTTGGTAAGGTGGTGGACTTGCAAACTGTTACAAAGTCAGTGAAAAAGCCAAACAACCATACTGGTTCAATTTTTGTGGCTACTTGAGTGAATCTGAAACTACAATTTACTTTCTCTTAAAGTGTTACATCTATGGCCTGTGGAATTGTGGTAGGATGAGTGCCATGTGTCAATGCCATGTCTTACATTAATTTGCCTGGCAAATAATTATTTCGAGTATCCTGCCACAACGACATCTCTAACCACCAGATATTTACCTATTTTCACACATTTCTTCTTTGATTCAACTAATTCTTAAGTATTTTGTAAAAATATGATTGGTTTTCATTAAGAAATTGCAAAGAGAAGCTGATTCAAAATGTCCCACAATTGTGTGAAGTTTGCATATAGAGGACTGTTTCAGACTGATCTTTTATCTTAGAGATAGACACAGTGTTCCTTTTACATTCTTCATATGTCGTTTTTAACTGTGAGATTCATTTGCACAAGAGCTGCATTATAAGAGTAAATCAGTAAACAGTATATCTACTATAAATGGAGACTGTGCTGATGACATGACCTTCCTCATGTCGTCATGGAAGATTGTTGTGTTTAATTCAAATACAGTGATGCAGTTATGGAGGAATGAATGTCAGAGCAAAAGCTCTGTGCTTCCTGAAATGAAGTAGTGTGTGATTCATCTTGAACTTGTTGCTCTGCTCTGTGAGCTGGAGAGAGGAGTGTTTGCAAACCATTTCCCAGCCTCAGTGATGCATTTTAAATTCTATGGATTGATGTACAACTGTAACCATTCTGTTTAACATTTTAACAATATGTCCAGGTACTATAGAATCCAGGTAGGCTGTGGCATGTTGTTAATTACCACTGCCAATGTTTTGCTGCAAAGGAAGGCTTTCGGGTATGTTCAGGAAGATTTTTCACAAGTGTGTGTGTCAAGTATCAAATATCAAGTTTATATGTTCAAATTCAGTGGTGGCAGACACAGAATAAGTTATTTGGAGAATTGCCCAAATGTTGGAATGAAATTGACTTCACAGAAACATTCACACGTCACCCAGGAAAAAGATCACTTAACAATCAAGATCCTCTTAAAGAAAAGCATCTTCTCAACCAAGAGCCTCTGCATTTCTATACCAGAGACATTCACAGTCATCCCCACAAGTCAAGTTACAGGAGTGTTTGCTACAAAGCAAATGAGACACCATGAATGTAAAGTGTGGCCTGTCATAGGGGGAGTGGAAGGCTTTTAGGCAAAGTTTATTAAAGAAGCCCTGCCATTGAGTCATGAGGTGCAGAAAGGATTCCCTTGCTTTCTAAACTCCTTCTCAGAGAGGAGCCTGGGTGCAGCTGGATCCAGTCTTAGCCTCAGATTTTATCAACAGTTTAAATTTAAGGAATTATAGATGTACAAGCTCAAAGGAATTACTAATAGTAACCATATTGCTTTACGAGTTCAATGCAAAGACAGAGTTCAAGGACCAATTAAAAATTAGATTAGTAGGACAAGTGGAGGTTGAACCAGACTGAGGAAAGGTACTCAGGGCTGGGAAGCTTGGAGAGAAAGTGTCCATTTTGATTTTTGTCTCCAGCTGTTTCACTAGGTATGACCTGATGTGACAGACGCCAAACTTCTTTTTATGGGGGAGAGGTTGCATTATCTCATTGTACATTCAATAACTTTCTCCAAAATACAGTATGCTTTGTAATGTTTCCGTGACGTTTGGAATTGTGCCACAGCAGAAAAAGGAGCTTCCTCAAACTTCAGGCGTGTCTATTCCAAGTGCTGAGTGGTCAGGAACACACAGAGGCAGGTAAAAAAAAGAGTTGCTGCTTAAAAATTTGCTTGACCTTTATTTCCACACTACAAAACCAAACGTATTTCTCTTCTGTTCTCTTCTTGCTTGCAAACATCACTGCAGAGGACAGCAGCAAGCATAGCACAGGGTGCCATTCCGATTAACTCGTATTTCCAAATCAGCACACACATACACATTCAGTGGTTGGCTTCACAGCCACAAACCATGTGTTTATTAAATTTGTATTAATTTTTATTAATAGTTTTATTAAATGGTCTTTATTAAATTTCTAAGTTTCTTAGATTACTTATTACATAGGAAAATGTGCAGGATTTTATTTTTTTGGCAGCATCAGGATCTTTTTTTCTTAATTAAAAAGATGTATGACATCTTGCTGACGATACATGTGCTGGACTTGTGAAAGCTGGCAAAACACTGGAACTCACCTGATTAATAGCATCTCTTCTCAATAACAAGGGAAGCCACTATTTAGGAAATCCTAAATTTAAATTTCTTAGACAGATACAGCTTATGTAGTAATCACTAAAACATAGAGTAGTGAAAGATACTAACTTCCTGTGTTTCTTGAAGTTCCTTGTAGTGGGTTGACCTTGGCTGTATGCCAGGTACCCAGCAAAGCTGCTCTGTCAGTCCTCTCCTCACCTGGACAGGGGAGAAAAACTATAACAAAAGGCTCATCAGTGAAGGTAAGGGCAGGGAGAGATCACTCACCTGCCACAGTCCGGTGGGTGGGGGAGTAGGACCGCAACACTGCACAGAGGGGTCGAGGTGCAATGGCCGTTTATGGAGGTAGAGCAGGGACTTATATAGGGTCTGGTTCAGGGGGGCTTGGTAACAGGGGAGGAACATGAGATTGGCATCTCAGGGTAAAACAGGATAGGGGAACACAGGAAAGGAGGAGGAACTTGGGAGGAGTCGGGCATTAGGAACCAATGGGGACTCACCCCGCACTGCAGTACTTCTCAGCCAATCAATGCAGGATGAGTGGGAAAGTGAGGGATAAACAGCTTTTGGTGGGAAGACAACTCTGGGCAAGCCCGGGCAAGTCTGAGACCATACAAACAAATGGAATTAATACAGCCAAGTGGGGAAAGTACATCAAACGGTGCCTAAAACCAGGTATAAACGAGCAAGTCCGTGAAATGGAGTCCCTTCACGCACCATAAATGTCCCTCCATGCTTTAAAGCATTCCCATTCGGACACAGGCTCCTCAGCATTCACCAGTTACTATCATGGGCAAAACTGACTTGACTTGGGGAAAAATTAATTTATTACCAATAAAATCAGAGTAGGG